AACAAGCAGTTGAGTGCCCTTCCAATAACTAAAAAACCCACATAGCATCATCACTGCACAGGAAAAACCCACAGTGGGGCAAGCCAGCTTTTATGCTACCAACTTGGAGGCAGGACACCTGATGTTAATGTTGAAGGCAGGGGCACCTGGTGGTGATCTCCTAGTTGGTTCCCATCCAAGACTGGCCAGACCCTGGATGAAAACCAGTCAGGAAGGTCTTTCCTGCCTGGTTGTGGGCATCATCCGTATGTCAGTCCTGATCCATGGCTGGGGGTTTAAACCCCAGCACTTCAAATGTTTCAAGTTTTTTCTGCAAATTGACTGTGTATTTGTTGGCAAGCGTTTTATTGAGACAGACTGTGAAGGGATTTCTACACGTAAGATGCATTTACCTTCCTTTTTACATTCAAGACTTTACTCAATTTGTTGCTGCCATGGAGAAGTTGTCTAGCCACTAACCCATCCTGTCAGCATGATTCAGTTCTAGATTCCACTTGAACTTAAGCATACAGTGGGTCTGAGCTGGAGTCGTGACAGCGTTAAATTAACCTGGTTAAAATATGATGGGAAAATACCCATTCAAAGGAATTTATTTCATTGTGTACTTTACCCCTAGTATTATCCTTTCACTTCTGCACTGAGACAGTGAAACTTGCAGTTTAGAAGTTATTAGAAAAACAAGTTATATCTAAAGTAGGGGTTTTGTAAGAACCTATTATATGTTCCAAAATTTTATTCAAAATTTAGAGATTAAGAATCTACTCTCTATATAATATGATGATGGAATTAAACACCAAAAGAAAATGCACAATACATGTCATTAAAGAGTGCGTTGAAAACTATTTTTAAATGTAATTTTTAGAAAACATGACTTTGTGTGTTATATCATAGAGATACTTACTTGCAATGGGTAGAACTCTTTAAACATACTATGATTTGAGACATTCAGGAAACTATTAATTAAATTCCATTTAAAAGTAAATCGAGTTAAAGCGTGTGGTCCAAGATTTCAAACTGGCCACTTTTATGCCACCCCAAAACTGCACCATCACCTTTTTCCTTCTCATTTGGCTGATTTAGCAGCAGCTTGTACATCCTCATCCAATCTGAAATAAGTCATCTACAGAGAGGGAAACACTCCGAGTTTGGCTCACAGAAGCAAAAAGCCTATCTCCACCTATTTATCCACCCCTATTGTGCTGAAATACTTCTTAAACTCACTGTAGATGGAGATTAAACAAAGATAAAACCTCTACAGAAATCACTGTCAAGATTCTTGGAGAGGAGGTGGAATCAGCACTTTAAAACTTTTTTGCTTGTTAGTCACACATTCCTGACTAACTCCTGAAGTGCTGTTCACAGAGAAATTCAAGTTGGCAGACATGGGGAAGATCTTTAAAGGTGAGTATGATCAACCACCGAAAATTTTACTAGGGTGTTTTACAGACTCTCCATCACTGACCACTTCAAAGTCAGGATGAGATTGGTTTTCACTTGTTGCAGAAAAAGCAACAGCAAAAAAACTCCCCAAAAGCCAAAATAAATCAAAACCTGAATAATGTCTTTTGAAAAAGTTATTCCCAGTATTGATGTATTTCTCCTGGATGTTCTGGCCTCAGTCTATCCAGGAGATGATCCCAGTAGGGGTAACAGATGTCCAGCCAATCTTGTCAGTCTTCTGCTGTTATGGACGAGGCTGTACCTCAATGTACCTCACAATTACATTTTATTTGAGAATAAAAGAAGATTTTATCTTTCTTTAGCCAAAACAAACGATGCAACATTTTTCTTTTATTTTGACTCCTAGAATGAGATATCATTAAGACCAGTAGACTGTGACTTAGGGTTTCCTTTAAGGAAAGAAATGGAAGCCTATTATTGAATATCACTGCTGTATGTGGATTTGAGAGGGAAAAAAAAAAAGTCTTTATCAAGTCCCTCTCTCCCTTCCTAACTTGATAATGACAGTTGGATTAACTCAGTGCTTACATGCTGGCACACACACTGGTTCTTTTTATTTTTCCCAGATGGAAAACAATACACAGATTAACTTCACCAAAATTAAACTTTACCTATAGTCATTCTAATAAGAAAACATTTTTTGTCCTATTATAATTCACCTTTGCTCAAACACTTGGCTTACCCTAACAATATTTTCTTTTTTTCTTATTCTAAGCTGCATTTAAATAGTTTCTCCTTTGTATTTATTTCAGCTTCTCTTTAAATCATTTAAGTTTTGGCATGAAGGCATCTGTACAGAACAGAGTTTTCCATGACCATGATGTCATTACAAAACCAAGTAGCTCATAGAGCACAATCACACGGATGCAAGCAACCTGCAGTCATCCTCTTGTTCTTTCAGTCTTACACACACACAAAAGTTCTTTTAGGGGGAGGGTTGTTTGTTTGGTTTTGTGGGTCTTAACAGTTTTATCAGCTCTTTCAGCATGTTGTGCACCCCCCTTTCTGTCTGTGTCAGCACAGAAGCAGATGAAGCTCAGCAAGCAATACAGAAGCATGTCACTGTACTTGTCCACAGTGTTTCCAAATCCTGTATTTCTCATGTACAAGAAGGGCTACAGCACTTCTTTCTTCTGTAACTTCAAGCATCTTCAAAGAGAGACACAATCACCTTCTTACAACTTACAAGTCTGTCTTTCTCCTTTCTAACATACTATAAAAAGAGTTGTTAGGGTATGTTTCCTACCTTACATTCCACCATTCTTTTTTTTCACCTGACATCCAACTTTAAGGTGTCTAAAGGAAGAATGTGACATACACAACACAAACTTCTGTGGGAATTTTAAATTTTTCTAATACTTCACAAAGGAAAACTCACACATCCCCAAAAAGCAAAAACCACCTACTAACCACAACACAAGCAACACTGAACACCAGTTTGTTATTAGAGGCCAAAAAAGAGTCAGACCCAATATGGATTAAATCTTTATTAATAAAAATATCTTAGTACAAAAAATAGAATAGGTGATTCCATACACTTAGAGAAAGGACAAAGATAAAACTACACAATAGCAGAGAAGTAAAATACTTAACAAGTCAATGTAAAGATTCTTGAAATTGTTTTCAGAATTGTGTTCTCTCTCTTGTCATGTGCCATACATTCATTGTCCCCTCCAAAAATGTAAGCTTCCTGAAGCAGTCACTTGATACCCTTTGGAGTTATGCATAACCATGACAACCATTAACCTCTCATAAAAATGTTGGCTACACTCATGTTTGCTATTGTTAGTTCACTCAGTGGTTGGCAAAGGTCAAGTAAGTTTAGTGATATTACATCAAAGAATTGCATAGATAATTTACAGAAGTTATATCATCCAGCCAAATACTTGTTATTTTTTATGACCTCTGACACTTTTCAGTCATACCTGGTAGAATAAACAGTCTGACATACTGCTTTGCAGAGCTGAAGACTAAATGAAGCTTTGTTACAGTATCTTTCAAGGGTGTGAATCGTGACAAAAGTAGACATGGTTAACAATATTATTGTGATTACTTTGAGCTGAACACTGCCTGATCTAGCACGTAACTAACCTGACAGACAGCAGTGAATATTAATAGGATTAGTCACTTGAGAACAAGTACATCTTTGTTACAGCAAGGCAGGTGAGAGTAATCTAAAAACAAGGCTAGGAGTATCAACTCTGATTAAGGCTGCTCTTCTGCTTGGAAGATGTCAGTGTGCAGTAGGATTATTGGTTTGTTGTCTATCTCTTCTATTCTGTCCTCAAATACCAACATGCACAGATAAAAATGAAAGTTGTACCTCGGTATTTGAGGTTGGGATCTATGCACCCTGCTTGAACAAAGAGACCCAACTAATCACTGCCTCTTCACATAATTGAGCTCTCCAAAAGCAAAGGTTATTAACAAGCATTCTTGTAAACTTACTCCCTGTAACTGGTACACAAATACTTGATAGAAAACATGTGCCATATAGCAAGTCCTACTCTGGACTACATATCTGAATCTTGTTTACAGCAGCATGACTGCCCATAGATCTGGGATCTTAAAGGTAAAACTTAATAGTATCACCTATCTCAAAGTCATTCAGTACATGTGCTTCTCCTAAATCTACAATATATTACTTTTACTGTCATTTTCCCTCTAAATATGCAAGGAAGTCATCATGATATTTAATCCTGGTAACTTCTATTAGAGAGACATCTCAGATTACAGCAACTCCATCATGAACAAAGTAGGCCACGGACACGTCCATTAAGCAATATCATTTAAGCTACTGAAAAATATTTTGAAAATACATTTTTCCACTCTCGTAAAGGTTTTGTTTTCTTCTTGCACCTGAACCCAGACGTTAGGAAGATCCCAAGCCTCTTGGAAAAACAAGTCTGTACGTAGTATCTCGGTCAGTAGAGCCAACACACAGTCCTGTTCAACTGTTGGTACTGCAGAAACGTGTATAAAACGGTTAAGAGCAGAATTATCATTGGCAAATAAATATCTTTAAAAATACTTTGTATTTTTATGAACCCAGACGTTAGGAAGATCCCAAGCCTCTTGGAAAAACAAGTCTGTACGTAGTATCTCGGTCAGTAGAGCCAACACACAGTCCTGTTCAACTGTTGGTACTGCAGAAACGTGTATAAAGAGGTTAAGAGCAGAACTATCATTGCATTTTTCCTCAGAGATATTTGTTTGACAAAGTATTTTTAAATGCATTCATACCGGCTTTATAAATAAAGCAAAATAAACTGCATAAATGGGTGCACAAGTGCTATAGGTAGAGGATTAAATAAATATCACTATAAATGTAGAACAGTCACTAACATCTGCTTAACGAAGTAGCATAGGAATTCATTTATTAAAATGAAAACATGGAAAGCTTCTATAGAAGATAGTGCAAGTATACAGCTATTTAAGTCATCAAAATGAAAATACACCCCCCAGATTGTGTAGTAACACAAGTTTGCTTACCAAAAGGAAAATAGAGTAATCCCCATCACTGTAAGAACAGGACTCACCTGCTAGCTGATAGTGTTTTTCTGCCAACAGTTGGTGGTGGAGTTGGTTCACTATGGAAAAAGCTTTTTATCCACCAACATTTATCAATTAACTCAGGCAACCCTGCCAAAAGAGAAAAAACCCACACCATTAGACAATGGGTGAATAATAAACATGGAGAACTAGAAGATTGTTTGAAAGAAGGAAACATTACCATGAAATGCTTTGTCCTGGTCTGTAACATTCACAGAATCTGAACAGCAGGAGGAGCTGGAACAAACACTGGATTCCGAATTCTGTCTTGCTGTTCATGGAAAACAGAGACATGTAGTCAAAAAAAAAAAATGCTTTGAAAGAATATACTATTTAATTGTCATGAATTTTTCAGATCTGCTGCTATCTTGGAGGAAACAATCTAAAAGGTAAGCTTACTTAGCTACAAAGTATAACTTTGATATTGTATACACTACTACAGTTATATATATATGAAAAAAAACTTCTGTGTAAGTCGATCTAACAGTCTACTCCTCACTTAAAAGCATACTGAAATCTGTTTCTGTAACTTTCACTGAAATCAGTGACACATCCTACAGTTATGTACACATCAGTATCCAAACAAATGAGTCTGTTGAATACTCAAGTCCAAAACAACCTAATTACTATACTTCCCATTGTGATACAACTCGCTGTACTCACACGCCAGTGTCCATCCTGTACAGATGGATCTTAACACACCAGGTGTACTCTTAAGCCAGTGACTACTTCACGTATTTAGAAACAAAAACATGAGTTGATTTTGTGTTCTGCCTAAGCCTGCGAAGTAAACATGAAAGATGGCTAGCAGCCAGGACTTGCTGAGCTAAAACTTTTTTTATGTTATATTTTATAATTAAAAAAA